TAACATGCTAATTTTTGTTTCTTTAACTTGATTGGTTCCCTCATGAGTTACTTCAAGAGTTTTCCAAATTTCATATGCCGAAGAACACATACATACTCTATTAAATTCATCATTACTTAAGGCACAATACAGACAATTGATAGCACTAGCATTCAAAGAACATTTTTTCATATCATGCTCATCAAATTCATTTTCTAATTTAGGCACCTCAATATTATTAACAATTTTTATTGGAATGTAAGGACCATTACTAACATTTAACCACAATTGATAATCAACGGATTGCAAATAAATTTTCATCCTAGCTTTCCAACATGTATAATTTGTTCCATCAAAATAAGGTGGCCTAGAAGTTGATTGTCCTTCACTAAAACCATTTTTAACACGTAGGTTTGCCATAAGCTCGAACAATAAAGTTTAGATAAAAAATCTATAGGAGCAACCTGCTCTGATACCAATTGTTGGATCGGTATGGCAACCCTAGAGGGGGGGTGAATAGGGTTTTAACGATAAAAGTGTTTAAACTTGATTAATTTTTCTAATGATAAAACTTTTTACAAATAAGTAGAAGATGATAATTACTAAAGCAAAATAATTCAAGTCAAAACAATAATCAAGTAGAACATGCAATAAACATAATAATAATCTTGAAATTAAATAGGAAAGAGTTAGAGAAAATGACACCGTAGTTTTATAGTGGTTCGGTCAAACTCGACCTACTCCACTCCCCAAGCGCCTCTTGGGAATTTGAATAAAGAACTTTTCCGACTCTTTCCACGGATCAGAGCCAAACCGGTACACCGCTCTTTTTACGAGTTCAAGAGCAAACTCAATCCTTTCAACGACGCAGGATCAAACCGATACAAGTATTTGAGTTTGATAATAACACACCACAACTCTCTCAAAGAGTAGATTTACAATTTGGGATACTGACAACTATTTCCTCACAATATAATAATAATCCCTCTCAAGAATAAGATGAAAAGAAATAAACTTGTAAGCTTGGAGAGAGCAATAAACAATGGAGACTTTGAACAAATGAGGATTGAAGAATGTATGTAAGTTGTATATTTTAAAAATGTGGGGAAGATGAGTTTATATAGAGGAGAAAAGTGGCTAGGATTGAATATTGACCATTGGATTGTGTTAGGAATAATGGAAGGTGGAGATTAAAAGTAATTAAGTAAGAAAATTTTCTAAATTCATTTATTTCAAAATTTTAATATAATAGTAATATAATATAATAATAATAAAAAGTTATGTGAGTAACGGTAAAATGTAATTCAAAATTTATTATAAATATAATAATATAATAATAATAAAAATGATGTGAGTAACTACCAAAATTTTAAAATATAATAATATAATAATATAATATAGTAATAATAAAATTCGATGTGAGTAACGGTTATATTCAAATTTATATTTGTAAAAATAATTTTATTTAGAAATGTAATAATAAGAAAAACTCCACCATGTGTTATTCTTCCAATATTATAAATGTCATACTTTGATATATTTTGATTTGTCCATCATTTTGATTTTGTTGCCACATCATCACGTCGGGTATGTTGTCTCGACTCTAATTTCTTCGTTTTAGCTCTGATTTGAGTAATTGAAAAGTTGTTGTAATCGTTATTCCCGACCTTATACTGTGGACAGTTCAAAAAACTGAAAATAGTTAATAATTAAAAGTAGGTTTGTTATCATCAAAACATCAATAATTAATTCATTGAAATTAATTAATGTGAGATCAAGGGCCAATAAGCCAACAAAGATGTGTGTAGTAAATATTAAATTAACAAAGATAAATCCATAGCCTATATTTGCATATGATCGAACCTAGGCTCTAGTTTGTGTTAGGTTTTTCTTTTCCATTACTATTTAAAACATAAAAATTTTAATACATTCATTTTAAATGAAATTAAAAAAAAAATGTTTAAAATAATTTCAGAAATTTCAAATAAAAGAATTTAAAATCAGATTTGCCACAAACAAATGGGCTTACATGCTTGTCTATAGACCCAATCCCTTACAACTATCTGGGTCGGGCCGAATCGAACGCATTTTGTTAAAATTCTATTTTACTTTTCTAAAAATAATTATTCATTAATTACCAATTAATTCTTTTAAGTTAATTTATCAAAGTACTCTTTCGGTTATGCATATATTTATTTAATATTATAATTATTTATTCTCCAACTACTTCATACAAATGAAAAGGTAAATAATTTAATAATATTTTACGTATTAATATTTAACTTTTATTAAAAATAAAAATTAAAATAAAGGATCTGATCATCTCAAATATTTTATAAAACACAACTAATATAATGTATAAAACATTGGTCCCCATGGCCCCAAAATACAAAGCAAAATTGAGGGACTAGAGTGCAAAAAGATATAAATTGAGGGAGTAGAGTGCAAAGAAAGGATAATTGCACATATGCTGGCTTTGGGTGTCATCATAGTCTTAATTCTCTTCTTCTTATTGAAGTCCCACATGACAACACAACATGTTGGTCCTCTCACCATCATATCATTATATCACCTTCCCCTTTACACCCTAAACCTAACCTCTTTTTCTATCCATTCCTTTTCTTTTGTCCCGACTAAACTCTACGTTCTCCTTATAATATCTCTATCCATATTTATGTTTATTTCATGTATAGCGAGCTCGGTTTGTACGATACGGAAACTATTTCGTTATCGGTATGTTCTCGTGCATACTCAAACTGATGCAAAGACATACATAAAGGAAGACGAGTCTGTCTCATAGCAAAAAATGGTTAAAAAAAAATAATAACCATCTCGGTTTTTTAAATTAAGCTTATTTTTTCATGTTCGATGGTTTTTGTTATGGATGAAATTGGACCAAAAAGACAAGCTTAAGCTTAAGCTTACCGCTAACAAATATTATCCGTTTTAACCCTTTACGTATGGTTGTCAACCTCACAGTTTTAAAATGCGTCTATTAGGGAGATGTTTTCACACCTTTATAAATAATGTTTCGTTCTCCTCTCCTCTCCCACTGTAATGAGATCTCACAATCACAAAAATTAGTGGAATTCAGGTCAATACAGAAGGACATGGTGGAATTTGGGCTGAAAGCTGAATTAAAACTCTGTTACCTCGGCTTAGGTAGTTGGGATTGACCTCTCGCTCGTGCTCTCGATGACATGGCATCTTGGTTCAATCCGGTTTCGTCTAATTAAGGTATTAGTTTTTAATAAATAAAAAAAAAATCCAAATTTTCATGTTTTTTTTTTTTAATTAATCAAGTTAAATAAAAAAATATTATAATATCATATCATGTAATAAAAAAAATCACATAAAAATGTGATGATGAAGATTAGAATAAAGTTGATAGCTGTGAACCTTTCTAAAATTTAGAAATGGTATTATTCAATTAAAAAGGCATTTTTTTTTAATTTTTATTTTTTTTTTCTTTGCTTCAAATTCTTTCATTCAGTGCTGATTCCGAACTCCAGAGGCATCTGTACGGTGTCGTTTAGATTCTCGTAGAAAAGGTATGTACTATTTACACTTTTGGGAACTAAAAAAATCCTACCTACATTTAATCGCATTAATTTCATTTTAAATAATATAGTTTTTAATGTTTAATTATAATGAAAATTTACATCTAAAAAATATAATTTAAAATTTTTGTCAGAAAATAGAGATTAAATGTTTTAAAAAATTAATAATAAACTAATAAATAGTTTGGATATAAAAAAATTATATTTTAAATCTATTTTATAATTCCAAACATTAAAAAAAAAATAGAGAAAAAAATGTCAGACTGGAAGCAGGATATTTTACGTTGGTATTTATTTATTAATTAAAAAAAAAGGATATTTTAGAAATATTATTTACATTCCATTGACAAGAGAAAGGGATGGAAAAGGAACGCGCGGAGAGTAGCGCGTGATGAGAAAGCACGGAGAAAGGAAATGGGAGTGTGGTGCGTAAAAGGCAGCGGGAAGCGACTGCGTGTGAGCTGTTCCTTACGTGATCCAACAAATCATTTCACGTTGTTGCGACCCCATCGCGTCAAACCAACTGTATTTCTTCCCCTTTTTCCTTTATTTTTTTGCCTTATTTTGTCTTTTTAACAAACACTTTCTAAAATTGCGAGACTAACGACGATATGTAATAGACTAAAACGGACATATCTGCTAGCAATAAACTTGAGATTTTACAAATGGTATCAGAGTTAGACATCGAGCGGTGTGTCAACAAAGATATTGTGTCTCTAAAAGTTAAATTGTTAGATCCCCACATTGATTAGACAGAAAAAACGAAACATTGAAGAGGTGTAAACTTTTCTCTAATAAATATATTTTACAACCGTAAGGCTGATGGTGGGCTTAAGTTGTTACACTACCAAAATATTAAAATGTATGTAAATTTCTAATTTTATCTTAGTGGTAGATTAAGTCATTTGTAATAATTAAATGGTAATTAGAAAGTATTGATTTTGTTGTGATAGGAAAGAAAATATATCTTAAATATGGATCAATTAATTAATTTTTTTTTATTTTAACTGTAATTTCACATTATAAAATTTTAAAATATTTTTAATGATGGACAAATAGTTGACATGTAATTAACTAAAAAAAATGGATGGAAATTAAGAATATATATTAAAAAAAATTATAATATATCGTAAATAAAAAATACTAAAATAGAATTTATGCCACGTACTAAAAACAAATAGAAAAATTCAGGGGAAAATAGGAATTTATTAGCAGAAAGAAAAAAAAGTTTAATTGAGGGAGAGTGGGACCAGGCCTTGGAAAAGGCATAATATGCCACGTACTTTACCGCTCATTATTGTTACTATTAATATTTTGGTTTTACTTTTATGTAAAAAAGAAAAATAGTTTTGGGAATTTTATAATCATTTTACTATAATTATTATTATTAAATAATAATAATAATTATTTAATTATTACGAGAAATTTGATGGCTTTCAATTCCTACTTTTTGCGTCGACACATTTCTATTCATGATTGCATCCAACGCGCGACGCCATTTCTATTTTCTTCTTCATTACCAAATTTTCCAGTAAATACCTCGGTTGTTTAACTGCATTCCTAAACTCGCCGCCTCACTCCTTGCCGGCGCCCTTCTCCGTTCAACTGCAGCGTCGCTATTTCTTCCTCCATTCTCACTGGTGCGATCTCCATTCCACAGCTTTCTTTCTTTGTCTTCTTCCTTTCTCTGAATTTCAATTGTTCCTCGTTTTTCTTTTGTTCGATTACTTCGTTGAATTTCAATTGAGCTGATTGGTTGATGAAGCAGGTTCTGGTTCTGACATTGCGCTTTATTTTCTGTTTTGAGACTGAATTTTGCGTTCTGATCACGGACTTGAATTGTTGAGGTCGGATATATGCAAGTTTCACCGCTCTGGATAACCTTTTTTTGTTCCTGTTTCTGATTGTGTGAAATCGTTGATTGTCAAGTTATGTTGTAGGTGGCTGGTTTTGAAAATTTGACGAATGATGAATTAGTCTTGTTTCTCATTTGACTTCTAGCTTGCTATGCTCTGTAGTCTGTACCACGAATTTCCTTGAAGCCTTTCAAAAAATATGATATCTGGCCTCTTCTTCCTACAATGGATCTTGCTGTAGTCTTCTATTGTCTTTCTCCGATTTCTGGAACAGTTCTGCTTGTTGTGCTCCCTCGTGGTCTTTCTGTACACAACGGAGCCATTGACTTTCTTCTTCCGGATGAGAAGAGATTCTGTTTTTTAAATAAATAATGAATTATTGTCAATTTCTATTTAGGGTATACTGTTGATTCTGTTGCTCATATTCATACACGATACTAATTTCTCCAGGATATGGTTTGAATGTTTATCGCCTCTTGTTGTTTCTTGGAAGGATGTTTAAGAACTTATCGCTATAAAACAGATAACGTAACCAGAGTCCTATTGCCGCAAAAAGACACTACTAATTAGCGAATAGCATAATATATTCCGTGGTCATTAATTTAGAATGCTGCTTGTGTGCTCGGAGTGTATGGTTCCATCGATGATATTTATTTTTGTTGGTTGCAGTTTGCCAGTTTACAAACTTCGTGACTTATCTTTTTGCCTAATTTTCTTCTTTTCTTTTTCAAGGTAAACAAGGATATTGAGATCGATTTATACCAAGTATGAAAGAACCAAAAAAAAAGATGGTGTCCTGGTAGTTCCACAAGCTGCATGGGTGGCTTATTATATCCTTTTGACTTCGACCGCAGGAGCATGGCCAAGAAAATCTTTAATCAAAAGAGACGTAATGGTGGTATGATTGATGTTATTATGCTCTTTGTTATGAGAAGAACATGTTCTGCGAATTCTGCTTGAATAGCCATTTTCCATTATCATGTAATTGACATTAAGTTGAGATTTTAAAATATTTTCATAATATTGGAATATGAAGTTAGTAGGAGCGGAAGTGACTAGAAAATTTGTTTTTGGAAATCCGAGCTTACGTTAGAATACTGATATACGTTCAGAAGCTTTCTTATCAGGCTCTTATTGCTCATGTACATATGCCCACTTATGGAAGTGTAGCATCCCAGAATCTTTTTTTCTTTTTTTAATAAACCAGATTTTGTAATGAATGTTAAAACTTTTTACCAGTCTATCATGTATAAAAACACCACTTGAGCTGAAACCAATCACAGGATAAATCTGATTATTTGAAGTAATTTTATCTAAATCGAATTCGCATTTTCTGCAGGCCTGGAAACCCCTCGAAATAGCCTGGAGCTACAGATGGAGAGTTCTCAAAGTTATTGTACTGCAGAAGAAATACCGGTAAATCTACAATTTTCTGGCTTTATACTAGCTAAACGACTATTCACGTCGAAGTACCTTGTTATTAGTTTTCTAACTTTTGAGAGCACAACACTAATACAAACTGAAGCTTTCACCCCAATGCAAACTGAAACAAGTCTGTCTATATAATTGGATCGTCTAAGTTCGAGATATCGATCTTTGAACCGTCTGGAAAATTCGTTCTGTTTGATCTTCTATTTCTATCTCAGTTAACATCATATGCTGATTTTTTTTTTTTAAATTTTGAATCCGTAAGATCTTTTTCCAGTCTAAAATTTTGTTACATCATGGTCAAGATATGAATTAGAAAGAAAAAAGATTCATGCTTCTTTCTTTTGGCAACAACCGAACCAAATTTTGTATCAACCTATCACTGTTATGTATCAATGGTCAAAACTGCCACCAAAAAATTGTATGGAATGATATTAACTATGGCCATAATCTCAGTTGATAAATTTGATATCAAAAGGTCCTGAAATTAATTGACCTGTGCTATAACCGCTCATGTATACTTGTCTAGGGTCTCAACAGCCTATATCACGAAAATTATATAAAGAAAAGGGCAAAGTCAATCTTGGCCCTCCTGTTAATTACTAAGTTAAAGAACACAAAAGAAATACATGCAGGTGAATCCCCGTTATTATACCACATCCTCATTGGAGTATTTTCTACAAATAGTTTCACTTTCTCATTCTCAAATCAACTTCTACTTCTGGAAATGAACTTCTTTTCAACAGTCTGTCCTCTAGTTTTCTCATATTATTTTCTAATGATCTTATTCGCCAATATCAATATACTTTCCATGCGTGTTCATTTCCACATTGTTTCTGTTGCTCTCTCTAATTGCCAGTTTCTTGTGACCGTTGCTGAATTTTCAGTACTCCTATCAAATTGATGAAGTGTTTTCTGACAAGGACTATTTAAAGAATGAGACTTCAATGAAGAAATTAATTGATAAGGAAATGTCCTCGCGCACGAGTGCCAAACATCATGGACCAAGCATTGTTGCTCGACTCATGGGGATGGATATGTTGCCCTTGGATGCAAAAGATGAAGTTGAGCTCAGTGACAAGAGGCACAATAGCAAGGGAGTTAAGACTTCAAGTAAAGAAATTAATGGCAGGGGCTTGCATTCTGATGCATCCTCCAAATCGAATTCTTATAAGAAGATGGACGTGCACTCATCTTATCATGATAATGACAAGGATGCTGATCGATGGAGGAGTACCAGTCAGAAGATGGGAAGACCTCACCGTCGGGAACATCCTCAGGAGGAGGAATTACAGAAGTTCAAGAAGGAATTTGAAGCATGGCAGGCTGCAAGGTTTAGGGAGTGTTCAAGGGTTATTGAAACTAGCAGCATCAACAGACAGTCACTTGCTCAGGACGACGCCAGGGAGATGGAACTAAATGTAAACACAAGGAAAATATCGAGCCCAAAGCTCTCAGCAGAACTTAAATATCCGACAGTGGGTATGAAATCATATAGAAGAGTTGATCTGGATGGTGGTATTAAGAGAGAAACATTCCCTGGTGAGCAGAGGGGACCCTTCTCTTTGAGAAGCGAATCCATGGATGCAGATTTTGAGCACCCTTGCCTGATAAGTAGTGATCAGAAAGACAAATTGCTTGGTCCAACAAAGATTGTGATTTTGAAGCCTGGTCCTGATAAGATGTGCCTCCATGAAGAGCATTGGACAAATTCCTCAGGGACCTTAGGAGAAAGAGTTAGTATTGAAGATTTTCTTGAAGAGGTCAAGGAGCGGCTGAGATGCGAATTGCAAGGGAAAACTACTAAAAAGGGCTCTGCTGCTCGAGGAAGTGGAATAGAGACGCCATATAGTGAGAAGTCATCTCACTCGAGACAAATAGCTCAGAACATCGCAACACAGGTCAGAGACAGTGTCACAAGAGACATTGGATTCAATTTACTTCGTTCAGAATCCACGAGATCATACAATAGCGGAGTTCAATTTAATGGGTTGGGTTCCCCAGAATTCATGAACAAAGATACCAGAAGATTCTTGTCAGGAAGACTGAGAAATGTTCGACGGAAAGATTCAGACTTAGATAGTGGCAGCTCTAGATCATCTGCAAGTGATCATGAAAGAGTTTCAAAGCAAGTAGAAACTATTTTGACAAATGGAAAACATACAAACTACTGGGAAGTACTAAGAGATGCAGAAGAAATACACAGTAGGTCTTTCAGGCATGAGGCAGATGAGGTTCTCCCCAAAGAATTGTCACCTAGGAATCTCTCCAGATCATTATCAGCTCCAGTGTCAGGAACATCGTTTGGGAAGCTTCTTCTGGAGGACCGCCATATTTTAACTGGCGTCCACATTCAGAGAAAACATGAAGCAAGTGATCATGTGGCGGTGAATCTCAAAAAGCAGAAGAAAGAGAGGTTTAATTTTAAAGAAAAGGTTTCCAATTTCAGATATAATTTCACTCTTAGAGGGAAGCTGTTTGGCAGAAAAACTCAATCGATTAGCGGATTGGATACTGCTGACCTATACTCTACCAAAGACATCCTGAGTGGACCAACTGTTGTAATGAACTCTGGGGAGCGCCATGAAAGGGTATGATAACTCAAACTATTACAATTCTGGTTCCACACTTTTAACTAATCCTTTCTCTTCATTGTCCCAGGAGAATTTCACTGAGGTGCCTCCTAGTCCTGCTTCTGTGTGCAGCAGCGGCCAAGAAGAGTTCTGGAAGTTATCTGATCATCACAGCCCAATATCAACTTCAGATGTGACTCCTAGAGATGAGAACTGTGTTTCCCAGGTCTTTAGGGAGATCAGCTCTAACTTGAAAGGTACGTGAAATTGCTTTTAAGCACGATCAATTTTACACTTCGTACTGTTATCAATGTCGTATGTAGATAAATCTTTTTACTTCGTACTGTTATCAATGCCTTTGAATACAGTGGCTATTGACTTTTTGGTTACTTACATCTCAAGTGTGCTCGTCAAAATACTTCTTTAAAATGTTTTGTCTGCTTCGGCTTGTGTATCTTGGTTGATTTTCAGATTTCTAAAAAATTATGGTATACATATTAACATTATGTATAAACTGCTTAACGTGAAAATTGTCATACATATAGAAATATAATTATAGAAGACGCCAACCTGACATGACTAGCTAAAACATGTCATTCATCAAGAGCATCACTCGAGAAGTTACGGCATTCAAATCCATGTGAATTCGAAAAAAAAGAAAAGAAATGATGTGTCATTCTTTCAATGATGGACATTTATCAATCAAGTACAAGTATGTAATTGTCATCGAGTTCAAATATTTGATCCCTTTTTTTTTTTTACACTGCAGAACTTCGAAGACAGCTGAGTCAACTTGATTCCGATGATATTGAGGACAGAGTGGAACAGCAGCCAGTTGAGTTTGAAATCACAAAACTGGAAGATCCAGCAGAAGTTTACATACGAGACCTTCTTATTGTTTCTGGTATGTACGATGGATCAACTGATCACAACTTTTCACGAAATAATGCAGCTACAAAGCCTATCAGCAACGCTATTTTTGACGAAGTGGAAGAAGCTTATAGAAAATCAGAGACGAAAAATGAAATCATCGGGAAGGAACAGAACGAAAGTAATGTAGATCACAAATTATTATTTGATCTGTTGAACGAAGCCCTTCCAATCGTACTTGGACCATGCTTAACAACGTCCAGATTTAGAACAAAAGTTATCGACTCCTCTACACCGCTACCGCCTTTGTTCGGAAAAAAACTATGGGATTCTGTATGGGACATCATACGCAAGTTTATACACCCTCCAACTGATAGATCTTATTACTTGCTCGAGGGGGTGATGGCTCGAGATTTAAATTCAACTCCATGGACCTCGTTAATGGATGTCGAGATTAACACGACCGGAAGGGAGGTTGAAGGCTTGATCATCAAGGATTTGATTGATGAAGTTGTGAAGGATTTGCGAAAATGATGCAGAGTCTTTAGTTCTCAGGACACTGACCTTATGCTACTAGACTTAGGAGTGGACATAAATTGCATGGAAATCAGCTATTCAGGATACACCACGCTTGATATTCACTCGAAATATATTTTCTTTTTTGTATTACTTTTACGTACATATGTCCTTATTGGATGTGTTTAATACAGATTGGCTTCAACTGAAGGTGTTATTCAGATGTAAATGACACTCTTATCTGATGTTTATATCATAATTTGTAAAGAAAAGTTAACATGATTTTTCTTTATGCAGTTTCTCCACGAATCTTCCCTTTGCCGGCTCTCTTTGTAATAGCCAGCGTCAAAAACCTAAACAGACTGCCACAGATTTCAATGCAAAATTGCTTCGACAAAATTAAGGTATAACTTGCTTAAAACTTCCTTCAACTATAATTATAAGGACAGATACCTATCAAACCATGTAGATTGAATTTTATGTCGTATTTATTGCTTCTACCCCCAACTATAAGACATGTTTATGTGATATATAGAATGGGAGTTAACTCTAACACGATCAGACATGCTGGCACGTATTAAAAGTTGCATGATTCTTGATCTCTTAATTTCAGGTTATACAAAATTACAAATCTAACTCGTAAAGTGAACATCTTTTGACCAATTAGGAATGGAATGGTTTTTGCCAACCAGGTCAAAAGAATCCATGGTTAGACCTTATTTGATAATTTGATATCAAATGCTTCATCTCATTTAGCCAAGTTAACTAGCCAATTCCCATATAGCAAAAACTGTGGGTCTGTCTATGATGTTATATCATGATTCATGGGTTAGGTAGACCATACTACATGTGAAAGCCAAGCAGAAAAACTTGAGCAAACTTCATCAGATTCTTCACTGGGACATTGAAACTAGAACCCTAAGGAGACATTTAGATACTTAGAGGGAGTGAGTGGTCTTAAAGTAAACATCCATGGACTTGAAAAGGAAGCTGGATTCATACCGAACCAACTGAAGTAGAATTATAACACTGGAGGTGGACCAGTGACAAATTTTGGACTCAAAATCCACTCTTTGTGGTTGCCATTGTTAGCAAGCTGTTCCCAAGCCTATTGAGCTTTCACATCCAAAAAGATAGACTCCAAATTCTTAGCCTACATTATTCTAACTTTTCGTTGTCTTACCATTAAGAAATGACGTATCCAACATATTTGAGAGTGATTTTGAAATGGTTAAATTCACTTTCAAACGTGTTGTAAGTCTGTTTCTTCCTATCTGTATCCAGTGATTTTGAAATAGTTAAAATTACTTTCAAACTTATTCTAAATTTACTTCTTCCGATCGATCTGATTTTGAATGAAATAGTTAAAATCACGTTCAAACATGTTTTAAATCTACTTCTTTTGGTCCCTATCATACGTTAAGAGTGATTTTTTGAATGAAATAGTTAAAATCACTTTTAAACATGTTCTAACTCTACTTCTTTCGGCCTATATTAGTATCTAATACGTTTAAGAGTGATTTTGAAAGGGATACAATCACTTTCAAACGTGTCACATAAGTCTAGTTCGTCCCATCGGTTTCTATTTTTTCATGTAAATGGAAGGAATTTTCTTCTCCTCCCTCATTCTCTGTTCTTGTTTTCACACATCCAAAGTACATATATACATACATGGTTGGCAGCCCCTTGATTTTGACCTGCCCTTACAACTCTTTAGTGGTGTAGCACATGCTCTGTCGGCTAATCATTCTTTACTCGCTCTCTCTCTTTATTTGATTAACCTAATTTATCTTCTAAACTCCTTCATTCTTCTCCTTACACGTGTAAATCATGTATTCTATTTTATTCCCATCCCAACAAGTAAACAGTATCAATGGTGATTTTGTACATTTTTATCGTGATCTAAAAATATAATTTCAGAAGATATCATACCAAGATTTTATTTTTATTTCCATTGCATATAAGAAACTAAATATGAGTTATATTCCACCAATAAAGGCAATTAATGATATGATTAAGGCTTTTTGTATTTATCTGCTAATTGCAATTAATTGAAATTAGCCATCTAATTAATTACCCCTCACATGCATATTACATATCAGACAACGACCCCTGCATGTGTCCACGTTTGAATTATTATTCATTTTTATTTGTTTTAAATTAATAATTAATTTTAAATTTTAGGGCAGGAAACCAATCCATCTCTGACACAAATGAAAAACACCCTCCTAGTTCACTGCCAAAAGCTGCAGAATTTCCGACATCTTCTTTTTATCTCCGCCGTGATGTCCACCGCCGACCGCCGTACCAGATAGCACAAACTTTCGAATAACACGCTGACTGGGTCGGCGGGTGTCCTTAGGGTCAGACAGTGCCAGAGAAAACTCATAGCGATCAGGTCTAGTTCACCGATACCTCCGGTTGCCCTTCCAAACTATATTATTTTCTCTTTTCTAAGGAAAATTAAATTGTGTTTATTTGCTTTCCATTTTAGGTCCGAATATTTTTCACAAAGGAAAAAAAAAAAAAAAAAAAAAAAA